ATGAGAATGATACAAAATTGATCTGTAACTTTTGACCCAAACTCTACACTAATTACCCTAGGCCTCCAGTTCCCTTTCCCCTCAAAGATGGTTCCTACTGGGGTGAATTGGTTGATTTGGCCAGTAGGTATATCTCCCCTGAGAGGAACAAAGCCCTCAGAGTTCCAACATCTTAGATGAGGGATCTTTTCCAAACCATACCTTTCTACTCTGTGGGAGACATTTTGTGTTATGCTTGACTTTCGTATCTTTGATCTTGGATTAACGTACCCGGAACTTGCAGGTTTAAGGTGACTCTACATTTCTAGGTCATAATCTCGGGAAGTACGCAGACGAGGCTCAAGGCACAAAAGACACACATTCAAATGCGAGATTGAGGATAAGGCTTGAGAGGGATGAGTGAAGACTCGTGGTGAGTGGTGGTCATATCTTTTCATCTGTACTTCATGAAATTATTATGAGTTCTTACGTTCCCTCTTTTATCTTGTTTTTGCCTTGAGTCAGTCAGTCCTGATTCGTTTGCATTAACATTGTCTGAGATTATGCTTCCTGCTGATATTGTCACGGTTCTTAAAACTCATAAATTGACAAACTTAAAAATGCATGCCAATACCTTTCTCGCCCCTTTGGCTAAGATCAAGTGTAGTATCTCTTATGACTAGTTTAATATCTGGTCCGTGGTTCATCGGGCCACATGAAAAAAAATAAAAAACTAAAAAAATGCATGGTAGATTTTAAAATTTCTGTTGATTATTTGTAAGATCTTTGTTGTTCCGAATCATAATAAAAGATTTATAAGACCGGGGACTGACAAAAACCGCAATTGAAGGGTCTTGCTCGAATTCAGATGCACACAACAAGAAAAAAATTGCTTTATTTAAATTATTTATTCATTGCAAAAGTCTTCAAAATCTTGTGTGACAGTCTGTTGTCTTTTTGGTCACCATAAGTGCTGTCTTTCCGGTTGCCAAAGGTGGTTTGGCTTGAAAAGGTGCGGCAAACGTAGGACCAGTAGGTGCCCATGGTCCTAAAAAAAATTGAAACGGCGTGTTGGCCGTAGGTCCTTGAAATTCGAATCTGCAACGGCGCAGGCCCAGGCCCACAGCCTCCTGCCCAGCCCACCCACTTCGGCCCAGTCAGCCTTGTCACCGTTCTCAATCATTTTGTTTGGAGCTGGACGCAATTTTAGGCCAGATTTATAAATGAAGATGCTCTCTCTCTCTCTCTCTCTCTCTCTCTCTCTCTCACACACACACACACACACACACACACACACACACACACACACACACACACACACACACACACACACACACACACGCGCGTGCACGCATGCGCACGGGCTATGGAGCACGTTGTCCTCTAGCTCTATCTCCAACTCTCTCGCGAACTCGTCTCACTTCCAACAGAAACCATACACGCGTGAACATAAGGCGCACTAAGTAGGCTTTGCCGCTCCTCATAATGGGTTGTCAGACATATGCACGCTCATCGAGATATGCTCCCTCTGTTCCTCTCTCTCTCTCTTTCGATGTGCGTGTCTGTGCACATCTGCGCAAAACTCCACCTGCGCTCCGTACTACAGTGAGTGTATCTGACACATTCATAGTTGGATTAAAAAAAAAAAAACAATCTCTAACTTAACAGCAACTGCCTGCAGTGGTGCCTCTCTCTCTCTCTCTCCTCTCTCTCTCTCTCTCCTCTCTCTCTCTCTCTCTGTGGATTTGCAAAAACTCCACCTGCGATATATATATATATATATATATATATATATGTTGTGCCTCTAGTGCCAGCGGCGTGTCTGGAGTGTATTTTTTGGCTGTGACAGACCTTTCTTTGTTTCGTGGATGTTTTGCTGGCTTGTGATGGGGTGTGAACCGACAGTCTGTAGAGTTTTCCATCTGGT